CCTGGTCCATGTGCTAAAAAATGTGGTTTTGGAAAAAAAAAAAAAAAAAAAAAGGTTGAGGTGTCATTGGTAGCTGCTTGCTCTGAGTTTGTGACTGTTGGCGGATCTGAAGGATACTATTTCTTTCTGCGCTCTCCGCAGAGTCGCCACCATAATGATTCACGAAATGTGGAAACGTCAAACTTTGTGGCTGGCAGTGTATCTTTCCACGATCAAGCAGAAGATACATTCTCCATCGTTCACATTCGCACTGATGATCAACACAACCCATGCGGCTGAAGGATTCATTCTCCTGTGTGTATCTTTCCACGATCAAGTAGAAGATACATTCTCCATCTTACAAATCACAACTGTTGCCCTAACTTTACGCATTCGCCATCTTGCTCATCAGAACTGTTGCACTAACTTAAACCCTGTCATTGCTGTCTTCTTCTTCTTCTTCGTCTTCTTCGTCTTCTTTGTCTTCTTTGTCTTCTTCTTCTTCTCTGGCCTCCTCCCTCCCCTCCTCCCTCCCCTCCTCCTTGTGTTGTCAAATCTCCCTTCTTCTTCTTCTTCTTCGTCGTCGTCGTATTCCTCTCATGATGTCTTCTTGTTCTTCTTGTTCTTCTTCTTTCCCTCCTCACCTACTTCCATCGCGCCTTCTTGTTCTTGTTCTTCATGTTGGCTGGCATGGTGATCTGCAGTGCTACCAAGACTTCATGCGCAGTTTTCGACAGGAGCTGGGGGAGTTCATCGGCTCAGTGGTGGTGGAAGTGTCTGTAGGGATGGGTCCGTGCGGGGAGCTGCGCTATCCGTCATACCCCGGTAAGATAGATACACAGTCATTGTGGCAGTCATACGGTTTTTCTAACCTACCTTTTTTTTTTTTTTTAATTGTTTACTTTGGAGAAAGTGTGTGTGTGTATTGACCACATGCATCCATTTCTCCTTCTGTCTCTGTCTCTCTCTCTCTCTCTCTCTCTCAAGCAAACGAAAAAAAGAAAAGAAAAAACAAAGGCAGTGTGTGTATGCATGAAATGCCAAGTGGCAGCAGTGGTCGGCTATGGTTGCCTCGCGGACATGTGGCGAATTCTTTCCGGGGAGCAAATTTCTCGTTTTTTTTTTTTTTTTTTTTTTTTTGCAAAGTATACGTTTATTGAAAAATTTGGAGTTAAACTTTGTCTCACGTATGTATGCCGGGGTATATTGCGGCTATGTGGTTCGGACTCTGGAGTCTGGTGGTATTGCGCATGATGAACGTGTCCTCCCTTTGAGTCCTCGTCGTCTTACTCACAGCAGTGGTGGTTGGTGCACTGGGTGATTGAGAGAGAACTTCCGCTAGCTAAGGGTTTTCTGTTGTGATGTATATGAAGTATGATGAACGTAGCTCCGGCCACCCAGTCCCGGATGCACCTGACTGTTAGTCCATCCAGACACAAGAGGGAAGAGGTCCTATTAGAGTGCAGTGAGGGAGAAAGAGGGGGGCTTCACCAGCGCAGGCTACCCACAAAAAAAAAAAAAAAAAGGGGGAAAAAAGGAAGGAGTGGAGTGAGCACGTGACTCCTGAAAGGAACGGGTGTTCAGTGGATATGGATTTGAGTGAGTCACTGAGTCCAGTCGTAATTGCGGTCAGATTCATTCAAGATGGTCGCAAGCTAAACCACTCAGATCATACTCGCGCTGGGACCTTTTTATCTTGTTTTTTTTTGGA